AAATCATCACCCCACCAACATCAAACACGACCTATTGTCCAATCATCAACACAACATACAATAATGCAAGAATGCAACTCAACACCATGCATGCGGTACCGACACATTGGTTCATTCAATCGAACCCCAGATAGATCACTTACACTCCTCCTGAGACATGATCTATCTCCACCATTCTCCACAAAGGAGTACGGATGGATCACTTACGCTCCTCCTGAGACATGATCCATCCCACCATTCTCCACAGAGGAGTACGGGTGAATCACTTACGCTTCTCCTGAGACATGATTCAACCCTACCATTCTCCACAAAGGAGTATGGATGGATCACTTACGCTCCTCCTGAGACATGATCCATCCCACCATTCTCCACAAAGGAGTACGGATGAATCACTTACGCTCCTCCTGAGACATGATTCATCCCACCAAAACACCATGATATGCACGACATCAAATGCACAACATACAAACTCAAGCACACTAAGTGCACACGATCCTCCTGATCACATCACCATACATCATATATATATATATACACGCACACCAATCAATTAGTTATTTTAATTAAAGTCACACGATCCCTTGATCACATCACCATACATCATATATATATATATATATATATATATATATATATATATATATATATATATATATATATATATATATATATATATATATATATATATATATATATATATATATACACACCAATCAATTAGTTATTTTAATTAACTTCAATCACTACATAATTTCACCTTTTAATGTCGAGTATACACTCTTCATCACTAATCACCATATCTATACTGGTCACAACTCAAGGGGTACTACAAAACGACCAAACCACCCTCACTGTGCAAAATCATAATTTGCTATCATGCTCGCTGGCTCATTCGCTTAGCGAAGCCCTAGCGAACGCTCGCTAGCTGCTCGCTTAGCGAACTCCCTAGCGAAGGCAGACAATAGCTACTGGAAGGGTTCGCTACCCAACTCGCCTAGCGAATCTGCTAGCGAATGCTCGCTACTAGCTCGCCTAGCGAAGGTGCTAGAGAGCGTCTGCGATTTCACAAAACCCTCACTGTCCAGAAATTCATCAGAAGCTCAATTCCAAGCCTATCACTCCACTTCCATCTCCCATTCTAACCAGTACACCCTACTCTAGTCATTATTCTATCAATTTATCTCCAGAACCCACACCTATGTCCATAAACAGAACTACAGAAGTTACTCAGAACCTCACCAGAATCCCACCATATGTGCACCCATTCATCAATGGCAGCAAAAAACATAAACACATCAACATGCACACGAAATTCATCATAATCAACAACAATCAGAGACATATCAACATAACAAACGTGTTCATAAAATCCCTATGGGGTTAAGGAATCCCCTCTACCCAATTTCATGCAAGAATACCAATTTTAACCCGTTTCTCCCCCCTTACCTCGATTAATTGCTTCGATTGTTGAAGAATTCCCAAGAATCTGACAGCCCTAGCCTTCTTCTCTTCCCTTGTTCTTCCTCTTTGTTCGTTCTCTTCAATCTCTCTCCCAAATTGGTTTTTATCATGTTTTTCTCCTCCTTCTCCCCAAAATCCCCTTTTATTACTTATTCCAATAATAATAATAATAATAATAATAATACAAATACAATATTACTATTATTTATTAAATTATTATCATTATTCATTATATTATATTAATATTAACTCTATGGCTTATTAAAATAATCCTTATCAATTAAGGGCACCCACCAACACGCTCAGACACACTCCTCACACAGGGACACACCAAAAAGACTAAATAATTAAAATGGGTGTTACACCGCAGACTTTGGAGCAACGCCAGGGAAAGGATCCCTGAACCAAGTTGGACCAAAGCTTTGATCCACGAAGGGAGTCATGGACGAAACAAAAGTGGTGGCCTCGACAAACATATTAATATACTTCATAAAAGTGAACTTGTTAGGGGTTTCTTGACGAGTAGTTAAGGCAAGCCTCATGCCTTTAATAGGTCGACTATGTGTCAAATACATAATACGCTCCGACACAGAAGCACCTATTTGATATTTAAAGGTGGCATTCAACCAATGTTGCAGCAGCCATTGGGGCCCAACATGTTCAAATCTTTAGGAGTGGCGTGAAAGAGCTTTAGCTTCAGAGAATCAATTCCCAAAGAGTGATAAAGGGATGCTAGCAGAAGTTTGCCCAACAAAATTTGTCGACCCTGATGTATCTTGGTCGCTAAACGAATATAGCTCTGAGCTATCTGCAAAGAGCCAAGACATAACACATAATAGGAGAGCCAAAGATTTAAGAAAGCAATGTGTTCCTTGTCGGAAACTTCCTCAGAGTCTTAGACATGGTGGTCTACGATGTAGTGTTTGAGGCTTACGCGACTGAAAGAAAAAGTATTTTCAGTCAAAAGAGTTGGGTCGAAAGTTTCGCCCAAAGGTGAAAGGCCAGTAATGGTTTCCGCGACAAACATCATAGGAGTTAACATACCACAAGGAAGGTGGAAGGTGTTAGTCAAACCTTTCCAGAAGTAAATCGAAGCGAGCAACATGCAGGGATTGAATTTGTGGGCATGTCTTGATATCTGGATAGCGTCGAAGATGCCAGCGGTTTTCCATTGTTCTTGACGTTTGCTTTGAACTTTATCGAGCCAGGCCAAGTAATCCTTGTTGTCAGGAGTGGGCATCGACTGAAAAACCCTGGCATTTGGATCCATGAACTTCAAGTCGATAGAACCCTTCTTCTCGAAAGCATGTGGAATGGCGGGAGTATAGCATGGGAAGTATTATTGAACCTTTTTGGGGTGTGTCCTTTCATCTGGATATGACCCATGGAAGGCAACAAGTTTCTCAGCAACAATGAAAGGAATGAGTATTTTTTGCTTCTAGTTCGTCACTGTAGATTTATTAGTTGACATTGGTTGAGGAATGGTTTTTAGACCTTCTTCTTCTGTAAGGACGAAGGCTATATGATTGTTACCAGTGTTGTGAGTAGTAAAAGCCATATCAGTGTGAAAGAAGACGAAGAAGATTGTGTTTCTCTGAGAGTTTCTCTAAAAGTTGCAGAAAACGAGCGCGAAGAAGAAAAAGGAAAGAAATGAAGTAGATAAAAGGAGTATTTATAAGCACAAATCTCAAACGGTAATGATGGCCAAGTGGGAGTTGATGGTGGTTGTGACTGTTTTATTCTTCTGTAGTGGGAAAGCTAGTGGGAGTAGCTGAGAAACCCACGACCTAGGGAATAGCCGAAATCATGATGAAAAGTGATGGAGTGCTCCTTGGGGATCGTGACGCAGAAAGTTGTCATCATTACGCGTGATGTCAACATATTAGACATAAAGTCGAAATTTGACAAGAATAAAATGCCATTTCTCAGTCGAAGGTGATCTCAGTCAAAATTGGCCTTTTAGGGGGAATAATTTGTTAGCTAGCAAATTTCGACTAGGGGAAGAGATGTGAGTCAAAGAGAAACTTGTCATCACAAACGAAGAAGTCAGAGCAATCTCGACGGACAACCCATCAGAAGGAAGTCGAAGCAAGCTCAACGGACAACCATTCTGACTGAGGTCGAAGCCAAGCCAAAACAAGCAAGTTTTGTAACTGATGAGAACGTGGGGAGGTTACACAAGAAGTGGGTGTGCATGGGTGGGCGCATGGCAAGATGTGAATAGTCAACAGCCAAGCAACAGTTATTTTTTATGCCTATTTAAGTAGAATTTAGTTTTCAGTTCAAGGGGTCACATTTTGTAACATTGCAAAGAAAACACTCAAAGTACCAACGTCTAAGAGAAACAAGTCATTTTTACATAAATGTATGCATATTCATTTCCAATTCACTTTTCTCTCCTAGTTTTTGTCTTGTTTTTTCTTATTTATTTATCTCAATTGCACGAATGCAGATTCATTTTATTTCTTGTCCACCATTTCAAACCCAAAACACCTAAATAATCATTACACACTTAACATTAAGTCTAGAAATTTGTAGTCGATCCTACAAGTAACCTTTAATAAGAGGCTACCGATTGTTCGCCAGAAATTCGGTCGAACAACACCACAACATATTTAAGAGAATACAACAATCAAAACAATATCGTTTGATGCAGACGTCATATCTCTAATATCAATGTCATCTTTAACATGCACCCACATTCGCTGGATATCATTATTTTCATATGCAATAGAGATGTACGAAACAAATCTCTCGATAGTTCTTATTTTGTCACCATCATTAATCTCTTCATCTAACCAAAGCTTCAAGTTCCTCTGAGATGTTCCGAAAATTCGTCTTTATCAGAGGCTTGGTTATTGAAAAACAAACATGCTCATTTCTTTTAACAACCATAATAGAACTAATAAAGAAAAGATTAAGAAAAAGATGACAAAAGATGCAAAGCAAATGATAGAAGACACCTCTATTTATACTAAAAAAAAATATCAAACACATAAAAGCAAGATGAATTGACACCTTCACTTATTTCTCGTATATATTCGCTAATTCAGTTGACACCTGTATCTACTTGCCATCAATTAACGCCCCCATATATAGTTGTCAATTGATCGACACTAACTCTATTTTTTCCAATGCATGCACCAATTGAATTGGCATGTGCTCTACTTTGCTAATTTTTTTTATTTGAAAAATTGGTACTTTAAGAATTAATAAGGAAACTTGATTATTTGAGAATTTTTTTAAAAAAATTAAAATACTCGGATAAAATAAATTTTACTAAAAGAATCCTCTACAGCATAAACCAAATTTCTTAAATTCCAACTAATATTACCACATACAAAGGTGTAAAAGCTCTAACCTTTTACAACTGCTTTCAATTTTCAATCAACCTCTGCTATGCTCCAATCACCATTCTATATTGGGATTGCTTGAAATAATCCGTTTGCTTACACGGATAATGAACACTTATAAGACATCAATCATGTTTACTACAAAAGCAAAAATGAAAGATAAATTTATCAATATATGTATATAAGTCAGACATTGAGTTTGTCCATCTCCCTCCTTAGAGCATTAGCCCTAACCAAGCTTCCAATGGTGTTGATAGCCAACTTGATATCCTCCAATGGATTCCCAGGTACAACAGTCTTGTACAAATAGCTATCAAATGTCATCTTCTGCACATACTCATCCGCGCACATTTCCACAAACGCTTCTCTAGCAGGATTGGACCGGTAAAACACCTTCTGAAGAATATCCAAAACTTTGTAAGTAGGCCAATAAGTCTTGTCCCACTTCTCCAAGTATTTTCTCAAATCACCTTCTTCAACCATCCTCTTCCCGTTTGCAGAACCCTTCACAATTTCCTCGGCACACATCCTTCCACTTTTGGCTGCAAAATAGATTCCTTCTCCCGAACATTTGGTCACGTAGCCAGCAGCGTCGCCCACAAGCGCAACCCTTCCTGACAATCTCCGTGGCCTTGGATGTTCTGGAATAGGATGAGCCTCCACGCGGATGATCTTCCCACCTAAGATCTTCTCCTCGGCTCTTTTCCTTGTTGCTAGTTGGAACTTCTTGATGTCTCCCTTGTGTGTCACGGTACCAGTACCAACAGCAACATGGTCACACTTTGGAAATACCCAACCATAGAAATCAGGAGAAACATCATCGCCCACGTACATCTCCGCAAGATCCTCGTAATAAGCCATTTTATCATCCGGAATTTTTATCCTCTCCTGAGAAAATGAAACATGCTATTTTTTATCCTTTCAAAAATAGTAACCACATAACATATAAAACATCACAAATAAATAATCTCTAAGTGACACCATTCGCCTAACAAGTCGGTTTTGAAAAGATGATATCAGAATCTATCTATCGAACCAGACCAAACTCTAATTTTGAAGATATATGCAACAATACCTAAAAAGAAACCTAGGAATTGAGACTGAGCATGAAGTTTTGAATAATATACCTGAAATGCAATAGCATATTCATAATCACCAGCATCAATAGACTTAGCAACTCTAGAATTAGCTCCATCAGCGCCAATAACAGCATCAACTTCCAAGGTACATTTTTCACCAACCCCTCCCGTTTTCCCATCATAGGAAGAATAATGAAGAACATAAGGCGAATTCTTTTCTTTAGGAATATCCATTTTCAAAAACAACCCGTTTATGATATTCGCTCCGTTATCTTTAGCCCGGTTCCTAAGGTAATCGTCAAGCACTTCACGACGTACCATTCCAATATACTCATGAGGTTTAAGTGTCCGACCAATGTCGACGGCGACATTCGACGGAGAAATCATCTTCATCTTTGTGACACGGCGGTCTATGATGTCTAGTGGTAGGTCAAACTCCCCTACCATGCAAAGAGGGATGGCTCCACCGCATGGTTTGCAGTTGTCCATTTTGCGTTCTATGAGGAAGGTTTCAACGCCACCTTTTGCTAGAGTTTCTGCTGCTGCACCACCTGCTGGACCACCGCCGATGACGGCGACACGGAGGTTACGACCATCGAGTTTTGGGCTGGTTATTCCTGCAACGACGGTGAATTTTCGGCGGTGGGTGATCGGTTTTGGGCGGTAGGAGAAATGGGTGGTTTCTGGTGAGGACTGGCGGAGTCCGAGGAAGGACTTGAGGGCGATGGAGGTCATGGTGGTTGAATGGAAGAGTAGCGAAGTGTGAGAGAGTAAGTAATGAAGTGTTTTGAGGGAATTTTTCTTTATTGGAATGGTGGATATGGTTTGTGATTTGAGGGGGTTTATAACCGTTGGATGGATGGGATTAAGGATGGAGATTTCATGTGGATAGATTTTAGGATCATGGAGTATGGTCCTTTGCTTGTCTGTCTAGGAAATGTGGCTTTGTTTGTTCTTTTAGTGGTTCATGTGTTGCCACGTTGTGGTGCTTAAAGTGGTGCATTTTTAAGTCATCTTTCATGCATTCAATTCAATGTTAGGGGTAATTCTGACGAGTGACACCACCTTCATAAATTCACAACAACAAATAGAGCTTCATAAATTCATGTCACGCCTGATCGAAATGCAGACGTACCAAACCAGATTACCTTAAACATGTTACATGGATGTGTAGCGGTTTGGATAGTTATGGAATAAAAATACATTTAAACTAAAGAAAAAATTATATACGGTAGTATTTATAGTTTAATATTAAATATGTGAAAAAGAAGTGTCTTGAGCTTTAGTTGTAAGAATGTGACTCAACTAAGGAAGAGAAGTGTACATCATGATGCGAGATTTAAAGATGCTTCAAGTTTAATCATAAATCAGCATCTCCATTGGTTTTGACCGGACAACAGACCGAGTTGGACGGTTTTGAGTTTAAAAGTCTCATCCATCTCAACTTGTAGTTGAGCTTTATAAACTCATTTTTGTCCATTTTCGTAATCGATTTGAACGAGTTAGATTAAAACGGATTGCAGGTTAATGCAACCGATTTAATCAGTTTATTGAATTGATTTTGTTTTAAACCTAATAATACGTTGAGTTTTTTTATTAAAAAAACTTAATCTCACTTGAGTCCAATACTTAATTCTAAATCACCCATAAAATTTTTAAAATAGATAGTAATCTTAATAGTATTATCAATTACTATCAATGACCTCCTAGTCCAAGTCACCTTAATCCAAATTATAAGTTTACAACATTGAAGTAAAATGTAGATGTTTGGACTGGACTGACACATGTCCCGTAGTTGGGCAAGACTCAATCCAGTGTAGCTTAAAGTCATGCCCAATAAGGAGATTAGGACAATCTAGTCGTTGAGCACCATATGACCGTTGGGCACAATATAGTCGTTGGAGCATATAGTCGTTGGGCACCATATGACCGTTGGGAACAATATAGTCGTTGGAGCATATAGCCATTGGGGACATCCCCCTCACACGCTTGACAGTTCACTCGACTAACTGCCCCTCTGAAATTCACGGGAACAATTGGACTAGGTCAAAGATCACGCGCTAGATCTTCCACCTGACAGTCTCTCATTGGTCGGCCAGATATTTCGGTCACATAGGAGACCTTGGCCCCGCGCTGGGGAAAATCTCATAAATGCCCTCTTTCTTGAGAGAGTCAGGTATTCTAATCATTTTAGCTCATACCTAAACAATCGCATTTGCTCTCTCTCTCTCTCTCTCTCTCTCTCTCTCTCTCTCTCTCTCTCTCTCTCTCTCTTGCCCAAACTTACTTTGGCATCGGAGTACCTTGTAGGTACACCCACTCCTCTCCTACAACCATTATTGTTGCCCTATATTGAAGGTCAAGACGATCCATTCTGATCACTCTAAATCAGTGGTGTCGTTTGAGGGAACCCAACTCCCCCGTCTTTTTGAACCAAGATCCCTCAATCTTTACGAACAAAAGACCAAAGCTTTTTCTCTCTGAATCTTCAGCGTCATGGCCTCTCACCATAACAATGATCCATCAAGATTTCGTCGTCGCTAGTCCTCGTCGCGACGAAACCCTCATTCCTGGAGCTGCTGCCGGAGAGACCGATCACAGGGATGGAAAGCCTGCATCTCCACCCTCCGACAACGTGAAGCCTCACGTCCAGAGTTTCGATCACATCTACGAGTCAATCCTCGTCCCTCAAGATGCTGACCCCTGTACTGCGTCCCTCATTGCCGCTCTCAACAAATCCAACTACTTATTTTTCCAACAAGGGGAAAAGATCCACATGCTAGAGAACACCCTTAGAGAACGATCTCCCCCGTAGAGATCCCTCAGTCCATCTCGCCGATCTCGCTCCCCTCTTTAGAAACGTCGACGAGACGAATCTAGAAGCATCTCCTCAGTCAAAGAACGGTCCAAGTCGGAGAAGCATGGACAAGAGATCACCAGAAGACGTGATTGTACCCCTCCCCAGAGGTCCAGGCACTCCCCAACATCCAAGAGAACAGGCCTTCAGGAAAGCCTCACAAAGAGCACTGAAGTCGGCACAGGCACTCTCCTCGGCGCAATAGGAGTCGTGGACGCAGTTATTCTTTTAGCAAATCGTCAAGCACCAGCGACGAAGACGACGCTCATGGACCATTGTCCCAGCAAATCATGGACACCAGCATTCCTCGTGGGATGGAGAAGCCTTCCCCTCTCGCTCTCTATGATGATACCACAGACCCTGGCGACCATATAGAGAATATTAAGGTCATGTTGCACTATCACAATGTAACTAGGGCGATCAAATGCAGGTTGTTCCCCATCACCCTCAGGAAGGGGGCTAAGGTCTGGTACAAGAGTCTTCCTCGGGGCTCAATCACCTCATGGAGGAACTTGAAAGAGCAGTTTTCCCGATATTTTACTACCTTCAAGCATCATCAGAAATCTGAAGCCACGCTCGAAGGTATAATACAGGGCAACGATAAGCCCCTCCGTGATTACATCGACAAGTTTAACAAAAAAGCAGTCGAGATTCGCACGACTGACCATATGAAGAAGTACCTTCTAGAAAAGGGACTGAGGCCGAAGAGTGATTTCCGCAAAGCAGTAGGGATCGATCTTCCTCATTCTCTGGACGAACTCCTCCGTCGGGCACAATCCTAGATTCAAATACGAGGAAAAGGAAGTCGCGTATAAAGCCAGAGACTCAAGGGACCAAGAGAGTTCCATTTGAAGAAGGACGAGGAAGAAACTTCCAGGCGCGATAGAGATAAGCGACGAGACGATCGTCCCCGTGATCATAAGAGGCCTGTTGGTCGCTTTACTGAATACATCTTGTTGACTGCTCCTCGCAATTGTATCTTTTCTGAATGTATCAACGCTGAATTCAAGTAGGGAAGGGTACGATTCCCTAAACCAACGTCATCAAAAGGCAACACCGTCCGGAGCAAGTATTGTCGGTTTCATCGTAGTCATGGCCACAAGACCAAAGAATGTGTCCACCTGAAGGACACCATCAAGATCCTCATCAAGGAGGGTCACTTGAAATAGTATACGAAGAAGGGAGAAGCCCCCCAACGAGAGACGTCCGAGTCTATGAAAACGAAAACAATAGCTTCAACTTCTAGCCCTCCCCCGCTGGTCGCCATGTCTGTTTCACGGCCAGAGGACTTTTTCCTCCCCATCTATCTCGAGGATCCTTCATATTTCTCACCGCATAACCCCTGGGAGGCCTTCCCCAACGTGATGGTAATCTCTTGCAGCGGGTACAATGAGCTCACAGTAGGATCAATGAAGAGGAAATTCGACTAGCTGATCAACTGCAGCCAAACCAACTGTCAACACTCGAAAATTTCCGAGGACACTCTCAGCCCATTACCTTCTATCGAAAAGAGCTCCCTAGAGGTTCCCTTAATTCTCACATTCCTCTACTCATAAGAGCCATATTAACCAACACTGATGTTCGCCGGATCCTTATCAATCAGGGGAGTTCGGTAGACATCATGTACATCATCCTGTTCCGCACCCTCAAACTCGACCAGAAGAACTTGCCCCTTTATGTGGGCTCAGACTTGTAAGGATTTAATGGGGCTACTGCAAGTCCCTGAGGATACATAGAACTCCTAGTCACCTTCGAGGAGGGAGAGGCTTCCAAGACAGTTAAGACTCAGTTCTTAGTCATTGACTGTCCTTCTTTGTATTAGTGCATCTTGGGGAGGCCTACACTTGCTGAGTTGATCGTCGTTTCATCTATAGTTCATCTCAAGATGAAATACTATACCGAAAAGGGTCACGTCGTCACCTTGCATGGAGACATCGTAGCTTCAAGGCGATGCTTCGAGAAAGCTACCAAGGGGCAGGGTTCGATTGACGCAGCACCACAAGTCGTCAAACGAGCAAGAGACGAAGGTCTTCCTAGCTGTTGCAATGAGATTCGGATATCAAGCTATTATATTAACTTGAATCACGAAACATGATATCACCAGTGAACTTTTATTTTATCCAAGGGAAGGGAGAAAAGATCGAACAAAAACCCTAAGTAAAATGCAAAGTAAAAAGCTAGGCCTAAAGCTAAGCAAAGAGAGATCAAAGGTACGGGAGTTGGTTATACTAATGGAAGGTACTAGCATCCTAAGCATCTGTAGTACTCTACAGGAACCTCTTGAAATATTTATGTTATTGCTAAAATTGTTTGCTCAGGTAAGGATGGGCAAAGTAAAGAGAAAAGGTGGAAAAAGAAAAAAGGCAGCTCGCTAGGATCTCACAATCCTATGCCTACGTATCCTATATAGGAAGTTAGAGCAATCGTAGTTCAGAAACTATGATGTAAAAAGAAAAAGGGTGAAAAAAGAAAAGTGTGCTCGCCAAGGATCGAGGTCTTGTGCCTACGTATTCTCAAAAGGAACTTTGAGAAATCAGAGCATCCGTAGTTTGTGGAACTACGAGTTGCCATGTTCTAAGAACCAAGAACAACAAAGACAAGTAAAGAAAAAAATATACAAGGGACATGCACAATGACAATAAGTCAACATACAATCTCTTCTCTTGGATTTGGTCAACAAGGATAAAAAGAAAGGAACAGAAACATGAAAAATCATCATGTAATCAGCAAACACCAAATGAAGACACAAACATAATATATGGCAAGAACATCATGCATAGTCAAACAAATAAGAATCACATAATACACATGAAAAAGCGTCATGGTAATTAGACAACGAAAAGTCAACGAAGATACATGGAAAAACATCATATAAGCA